ATGTATAGAAAGGAAGTAATATTTGCTTATGCCCGCGTCAAGTCTTCACTGGGCACCTACTATGTGTCAGCACTATTCCAGGCCCTGGGAAAACAGAAAAACTCTCTCCACTGTCATGAATTTTTCATTAGAGTAGTTAATGGATAAGCTAATGAACTAAATTGTGTGGTATCCTGAAAGGGGATAAAACTATGGAGAAAATGTATGGCACGCAATGTGGGGAGCAGTTTCAAACTAGATGGTAAAGGAACACCTCAACAAGAAAAAATGTGAGAGGCGTTCAGGTGGCTCAGTCAGTTAAGCATCCATCTGCCTTTGACTCAGGTCATGATGCTAGGGTCCTGGGATTGAGCCCCACATCCCTGCTCAGCAGGGACCCCGCATCTCCCTCTTCCCCTGCCACTCCCCACCCACTCATGTTCTCTCCCACTAGCTTTGTGCACTCTCCCTCCAATCAATCAATCATAAAAAGGGGGGGGGAGAAAGAAAGGTGACATGGGGAGGTTCTGACCCACCAAGCAGATGAAGCACACAATTCAAATCAAAGAGAAAATTGGAAAAAAACACTGTAAACTAGTTTTCACTGTTTTTCTGCCATCCATCCATTACTCCCAAGTACAAAAGAAGTGAGGATTTCAAATGATGGCCACACATACTATTTTTAAACTTTAATCATCAAGCCTTACCGCCTTATTTTCCTACAGAAAAATAAGTTACCACTGGTCCTGCTTTTTGTCTCTTGAAATTTCCATCTTTCTTGCCAGAAAGCAGCATCTGTATAAATCCCCCTGCTTCTGACAAGTCTGACTTCTTTGACAAACTACCCCTGTGTGTGGGGAGGGACAGAAAGATGGAAGCAGCAAATGGAGAAATGAGTTTTCCCCTCTTCAGATTAATGTATATGAAGTATACATCTGACACTTCATCAGCACTCCCGGCTGGTGTCCCAGCAGGCGGACACTGGCTGAGCACGGATTCTGCTAGCTACCAGGCTACTTAGGATGAATTGGCAACATGCCATTTATCTGAAATGCCCAACGTGTCTGGGAGAGGGAGCACGACTACATTTAGCATTGCCATGGAAAACTAGATACTTCAGGCGAGGAATTAATCTCCTCCTTGAGAAGGTGGTTAGCATTACCCTACAGTTTGCCTATGGCATTTACATCACTATGGGTTATGCATTTACTAAGATTCAGACCTACCAAACCACGAGGCCTTCATTTCTATCTTACTAACCTAAGAACAGCTCTGAGGCTGGGAGTCTGTACTTCTCTGAAGTGTCTGTTGGTGGGTTGAACAGGAAACACGCTTTTATCAAGTGTGATGCTGTCATTGGGACACTCCGATGCTTCCTGTTTTTCCTATTTTTCCACACTTGAGGACACATACCACTTCAACTGGCTTGTTCCGTGAGCCAACAAACGTTTAAATCAACGTGACTACATCCTGACAGCTTATGAGCATAGTAACCGAATTTCCTTGAATGTGGACAGTCATCCTCTCTCTTCACTACGTTGTCAGCGTATTTTTTGAGCCGCCGATGTGGAACTACGTGGGATTTGGCCCATTACACAGACTTCTCGGCTAATCGCCAACATAAGATGCACACAGAGCAAGAACAAAGAGTTTTAGATGGATCATCTTATTAGCCACCCATTACAGCACCCAGAACCACACCATCACTCTCGCCTTGCAGCTAGAGTAATCCGTCACGCTGCAGGAATAATTTTTCGTTCCATGAACCATATTTATTGAATGCCTCCTACGTGCAAGGAGTTGTGCCAGGAGCAGTGAGGAGCACCAAGTCGGAGCAGCAGACAGGAACTCTGCCCTCAAGGAGCTTGCAATCTAGCAGGTAAAACTAAGGGGCACCATGACAAACACAGGAGGAGAGGTGACTTACAGCTCTAGGCCAGGGGCAGTGGGGTTGAGAACAGTGGCCTGGAGACAGGGTCAGAATGAAGCCCGTTCTGTTGTTCAGTGAACCATGTGACACATCCCTTGTTTAGAAGGAAAAGTAGAAAGTTCTAATAAGTGGAAATTTCTACCTCTCAACCATCCTTCTCTATCATTAGAGAGATAATGAATTGTCATCCACAAGATAATTTAGATGTAATCCAATCCAAGACATAGGAAACAGATTCCTGGTGTGCAAAGGGTACCACAAGTAGAAAAAGGCATTAGCCCACACTGAGTGACAGAGTGAAAAACAGCGATATGGCCCAGAAAGCTGGGCCAAGAGCAGAACAAGGAGGAAATCAAGATGGCACTCTGCCTGGAGGCTCCCCTCCAGCTGCTGCTGCTCTGACTAGGAGAGAACGGGAGGGAAAGGGGCAGGGGGAGAAGACTCGGTCAAAGAGGCTGCAAATAGTTTCCCTTACCCCACCAACAGGAAGTAATGAAGCCTCCGGAGGAAAGATAAGACGAGGGTTACATTTTATTTTTTTTATTTTTTTATTTTTTTGAGGGTTACATTTTAAACCTTCACTGTCAAGTGAATGGCTAACCACGCTCTGGCTTCTGTACCCAAGCGTGCCCAAAATACGTCACTAACAGAAGCATCAATACTGCTAACATTTGAGACCTGTTATGTGCCAGGTACTATTTTAAGTTTGCTGCCTATGGGATCCTAGCACTTTCCCCAGCTTTGCGCTCAAGCCAACAGTATAAAAACTCACAGGACTGAAGAGCTAATGATTTCATGACTCTTCGGTAAGAATTTCATTTCAGATGTACTTGGAGGAGTAGTTTTTGTGTTTTCTATTAATAATTCTCCTTATCTTTTTATCTTATTCCCAAGTATCTTAGGTCACCTGATATGTGTTTTACAAATGAATGAATCAATTTCCATTTCTGAGTATGGAACCACCTGTATTACATAAGATACAGTATTACTATCTGAGTAATACTGAGTAATTACTAACAGTAATATTGCAGTGACCCAGAAAAAGCACTTTTGTTTAAAAAAAAATCATTAATTGTGAGGCACTTCTCTCTTTCCTTAAAAAGTAAATGCTTTCAATAAAATAAGCTTTTAATGAAATTCCCCAAGAAGAAAAATTAACACTGACCTTGGGGATAGGATGATGGCAGATGCGAACTACCATCATATTAACTGTACCTTTAAATATAAGTCCTAAAATTTTCATGAGAGGAAAAAGATGAACTTAGGTTTAAAGACTATAGTCAATTTTGAAGTCATAAAATATTCTGAGAGAAACTTTTTTAGGGATAATTATTCACTACATTCACAATCTTTATTATTCTAGAAGTAGAATCAGGGAATTCCAAAGTTGGCTTCCAGAGGCTGCTTAAATACCTCTTTTCATCTAGCAGGTGCAGCTGAGTTGATAAAATATGAGAAACTAAGTGATTTTCCCAAGTTTATACAGCTACCTAATGGCAAAAGTAAGACTAGAGTCTCGACCTAAGTCAAATCTCTCTGCATTGAATGAGTCTCAAACATCCGACTTAATTTATTACTAATGCATAAAAGTATAAGGCACCATAATGCACTGATAAATTATTTGCATCACCATCAGTAAAAGATATTTAAAAATCTGTTACCAAATCATACAACCTTACCACCAATACAAAAGTAACTTGTAGAGAACTCTAGTCTGTGCCAAAGATTGAAGGAGAGAAGATAAAAGACCCAAGAGAAAACAAAATTCTAGGAAGCATTATGGGTAAAAATAAAGATCAACACTGGAAAAAAGTGAAAAAGGAAAGCAGGACTCCAAGCTGTGAACAAATATACAAATATGGATGCCAACTGACAGACAACTGGTCAACATGGCTGGAGTCCTGGTGTTAGAATAATGACCAGTTTCAAGTTCCACAAAAAAGAAGCATCCAGGCAAGAATCTCCAGTGGATGAGAAATCTGGGGGATATTTTTGATGACAAGAAATATGTTCACATGGCCTGAAATTTATCTCCCCACAGAATGCTTACTGATTATAGGATTAAAAGTCTTACTACAATGGAGAAATCAACACCATGATTGGGGGGTGGGAGGAAGGGGGAATTAACAACACGATGAGGGGTGGGTGGACACGATGGGCCTACAGAAGGCAAGCCCTGAGAGGACACATCACCATCCAATCCCAATTCTGGCCTGGAACCAAGAGGAAATATCAGACACATCAGGCATGGATAATAGGAGAAACATTCCATCTTTACAAACTAGGAGAGGAAGGATAGTCTTCAGATATGTCTATGTCATAAAAGGCAAAAGAAGGCTGTACAAAAATTTGAGATTAACAGAGACTAAATAGAGATGACAATTAAATGCAATATATGACCCCAGACTCAATCCTACACTGGAGGAAAAATGCCACACAGGATATGATGGACCCAATTGATAAAAATGAAATACAGACTGAAGAATAGATAAAAGGCTTGTAGTAGCCACAAATGTACCAACGTCTATAACCATGATAACAAACAGCCAGGACATACACAGTGTACTCTTAAATAGTTCAAGCCGTTATCTGAGTGTGTGCACATATATATGAATACACACATATGCTTATATCTACATCAGCATATATCCACGGAGAGAGAAAAAGCAAATTTGGCAAGAAATTAATAGCTGAAAAAAAAAAGAAAAAAAAGAAATTAATAGCTGGATCAAGGTGAGGATCAACCATGTTCTACTTATTTTTCATATTCTTCCAACTTTTTGGCAAGTCTGAAATTATTTGCAAACAAAGTATTTAAGGAAAAAGGAAGCTCAGAAAGACTTTCATCTCTTTTGCGGGAAGAGAGGAGACAGTCAAGTCGACCCACACTCTACAGGCCAGGCTGGGGCCATGGAGAGGGGGCTTGGAAACGCTCAGCACACTCCAGGCAAAAAGTTTCGCACTGCGTAATAATGTTAAACATGGGTTAAGTTCAAATCCAGGTAAACTCAGGAAGCTTAAACCAGTCCCCAGGGCGGTGGGGAGATAAGAGCATGGGGATGCCCCGCGCATGAAAGCAGAGGACACTCACCAGGCTGGCGGTGAGCGAGGGCGCCGACTGGCCCAGGGCCTGGCTGCGCATCCGCACGAGGTTGGACGTCTCCGCCGAAGCTGGCCAGGCCTGCCCTGCCACCGGGTTTGGAAGGAGGTATCGGCCTGTCGGGGCGGGGGGGGGGGGGGGAGAGAAGACAGTGTTAAGTGGCGAGCAGCACATCAGCACGTCAGTGACAACAGCAAGTCCCTTCTTTTGTCCTCCTCCCCGCATTCATGTATTAATCGCAACCAGAGGCATAGTGCTCTAATCAGGTCAAGGGATCCGGCCCCAAGTTCTGCCCTGACTGCCCACGTGAACCCAAATTCCATGTTTTCAGCTCCAGCGCCTGCAGCTTTCAGCCAGGGTGGGATGAAGTATCTCGTTACCACTGCCTACTGCACAGGGACTCGCTGGAGACGCATCTCAATACGCAGAGCATGCCCAGCATCACTGGAGCAGACGTGCACTTACGGAGGGACTCTTTCAGTATCTGACATGGAAAATGATCGCAAAGTCAGCTAGCCAAGGGTCAGCAAAGTAGAGATTGTGACCAGCAAGAGGAAGACCTGGAATTCTGTCTAGGTGGAATGGGGCTGGTGCCTCCTTCTCAAAGCTTCTCTCTCCAAAGAACTGGTGGCCACCCAGCCATGTCCGCAGGACCCACAGGGTATACCCATCCGCATCATCAGGACATCAGTATCAGACTAGGCTCAATGAGCAACTCACATCAACCCTGAGCTGTAATATATGTTATGGCTTTAATAGTAAAACAGGTGAACCAATTTGCATGCCACTACTTCCTCGGCACAAGGACTAAACTAGTTACCAACACAGGAAATAAGGCTCCTTGACATCAAGGAGTTAGGTAGACGTGAATATTCACCCAGTAATGAAGCTCAGTGGACATAGAAACCATGTTTGATGTCTATGTACTTCACACTGATACTGGCACAATGAGTGGCCATAGTAGGTGCTTATTAAATATCCAATGACTGATTAAATGACAAGTGGGCTCTTCTTTCCCTGCAAAACACACACAGGCCCAGAGAAAAGATGGCAGGCAATTCAGAGAACCTCATGCAAGGCTGGGAGTGGGTGGGTGGGAATCCAGCCACATACCTCTCAGAAACAGGAGGGACTGTAGCACATGTGGCTGGAGCCCTGCTGCAGAGGCAACATCTGGATTTCCCCCAGCAGATCTGTTCCTTATAAAAGAGCTTCAGTCTCTTGCCTCAGGCAACAAGTATATCCTGCCGGTTAATAACTGTTGGGCTATATTAACTGATTTACTAACAGGGTGCATGGTAACTACTAGCACTATCCAAGTACAGGAGTGAGCTGCAGCTCCCGCCATTGTCCGTGTGAAGAGGCCTAATGCTTTAATCCAAGTGCTTTGAGAAATTTCTATTTTAATTGCAAAGGAAACAATTACTTATTCTGCCAAAATTGCTCTTTTGCCATATTATGTAGTGAAAGCATAGACTATAGGGAAAATGAGATCTGTTTTTGTGATCTTCATCTTGCCTCGGTGACAATGGGAAAGGAAGTTCGCCAGCCTCTCCCGGCCTTGGCTTTTTTGTCTCTAAAATGGGGAGAATGGGCCTGTGTGAATGGTTGAAAGGATTAAAGAATTTTCTAAGTAAAGCACTCAGTAAATGTTAGCTACTTAGCCATAACAGTAGTAAAAATGTTAAGTATCTTTTTCACTTGAGTTTGGTTCCTCTTGGCTCAATAAGTAGGATGTCCACATATAAAGGAAAAAAAGTCACCTATAATCACATCAGAGGAAACCACTGTCAACATTTCAGCGATTCTATACCAGGCTTTCCTTCCATAACCTATATTTTCTTACAAAAATGGGATCATACTGAGTTTTGTCACCTGCTCCCCCCAACCACACATAAGAGATTATGACTTTTTCCAAACAAACAAATATAGTAAATACCAATTAAGTGAAGCATTAGCTCTGTCACTAAAAATTCAAGTATAATTACCCTCTGATTCTGGTCACCACCTCAAAAATGTTCAGGTCGATTTTTATGCAGGAAAGGTCACAGAATTGAAGTCAAATATTTTTATTTTTTTCCTTGCCTTATTTTAAAATATCAACTAAAAGATGAACTAAGAGGAGCTTTGCACAATCTGCCTCCTTTTAGATCTAAAAGCAGGACATCTATAAAGATAGACAAGAAAACCATAGACTGCATTTAAGAAAACTAAGATCAGTATTACATGAAGAAATGATTTAACATAGAAATAAAGTCTTTAAAGGACATCATTTGTTAAGAACATACCAACCTTCAGTGATCAGAATCCATAGATTTTTTTCTTCTGATCTCTTCTATTTTTCTGTATTTTATGTTTTATATTTTCTTTATTCATATTTCAGAAAGAAACCTGATAGAAGGCATAGAAGCTATGTGATGCCAAGGTTTGCATGGTGGAGAAAATCTACTCTGGCCTCACCACTGTTGTGCTCCTGGTGCTTCATTTAATTTTTTTGAAAATATTTTATTTATTTATTTATTTATTTATTTATTTATTTGAGAGAGAGTGAGCGAGCATGAGTTGGGGGGGAGGGAGAAATAGACTCCCCACTGAGCTGGGAGCCCCATGTGGGGCTCAATTCCAGGACCCTGGGATCATGACCTGAGCTGAAGGCAGAAGCTCAACCAGCTGAGCTATGCAGGTGCCCCCAGATGCTTCCTTTGAAAGAAAACTAAGTTTAGAAACAAAAACAGTTGAAGAATTTAATGTAGCAATTGAAAAACTCAGATGGCAAACATTTCAATCGGCCAAATAATTTTATGTATCAGTCTTTTTTCTTTTAGTAGAAATTAATTATTAGACTGTCTCCCTATAACCTCCCTGAGGTTAACAGGTATTTATTTCTTTATCCCCAGGACCAGCCATAGTGCCTGGCACTTACTAAGTGCCCAAAAAATGTTTATTGCCTGAAATGCAGTGAAACTACACTATTTGATCAATACTTGATCAAGTGTGAAAAGAATAAAACTAAACAGATAATTTTCTTAAGCTTCATTTGTAGCATAGCATAAATAGCTAAAAATCCACTAAGGCCTTACTATATATCCCAGGCAATTCCAATATCTTAACAACCCTATGGTGTGCTAGGTAATATTATATACGGGGAGGCAGGGTGGAGAGGGAGAAGGAAAATGGCTTTTATAAAAAGATGGGAAATGGTACCAGAAGGGATTAAATGAGATAATGCACTTAACGCACTCAACCTGGGACAAGGGAAACAGTCAATACACCATCACTTTTCACATTATCAGGAGAACTTTTTCATTCCATCAATATCAACCTCACCACCCTAGCAACAAAATAGGGCAATGTGTTCTTGGAGCACAAAGGAAATAAAGAAAAAGTATTTAATAATAAAGACTAAATAAAGACTAGTATTTCTTTGTGAAAAGAATAAATAGCAAATTCAGAATTAGAGTTATCTCTGGCAGAGAAAATGGGGAATAGGTCCAGGGAAGAAAATGCTGCAATATTATTTTAAGAATCGTTTGCAGGTAATAATGGGGGTCTATGAGTTGAACTTAAAAGTTTAAAGAATTAAGTTGTCACTTGTGGTTTTAATAAATTTAATATTAAAACATCTGAAGAATGTGGCAAATATTAAGTTTAGCTAAGGCTGGCTGGCAGATATATGGATTGTAGTAAATTATTCTCTATTAATTTCTTTTTTTTAAAAGCTTTTATTTATGAGAGACACACAGAGAGAAAGGCAGAGACACAGGCAGAGGGAGAAGCAGGCTCCCTGCGGGGAACCTGATGTGGGACTTGATCCCGGGACCCTGGGGTCACGACCTGAGCCAAGGGCAGATGCTCAACCACTGAGCCATCGAGATGCCTCTTAATAACGATTTAAATTTTATTTAAAAGCTTTAACTAATTCTAGTTAAGTTGAATTTCATTAAGGTTAACTTTATTTTTGTTACCCAGGTTTCCCTAGGAGTGTATTTTTAAAACAGAAAAAAGTCCTGGGATCAAGTCCCACATCAGGCTCCCCAAGGGGAGCCAGCTTCTCCCTCTGCCTAAGTCTCAGCCTGTCTTTCTGTGTGTCTCTCATGAATAAATAAATAAAATCTTAAAAAAAAAAAAAGAAGAAGAAGGAAGTCATGGCAGTGGATGCTGGGAAAGACTGCATTCTGTTCTCCCACGGGCACATAAGGAAACAGGGACGGTTCCTGAATAAATCCTCAGTGTAGGGAATTCATATGCTAGGATCCTGCTCAGGGAATCCAGCCCCACTTTGGAGGGGATGTCGGACTCAGAACAAGCACTGGGGAAGGGCACAAGCAAACAGAACCACCCCACCCCACCCCCGCCACACACACACACACACACACACACACACACATACACACACACACTCCAAAGCACACTCTCAACCCTTCAGTGTCATCAGATCTCCCAGGGCACTCGAAAGCAAGCAGAGACCACTGCTAACAGGACCCCTGTGCATCCTTTCCCCAAAGTCACTCTGCCTCCCACTGCCCCGGACATTTTATGTGCTACTGTACCATGTGGAAGTCTCACCTTGGTGTACCAGGCCGGATGTGTGTCTTATCAAAGGAAAACAAAGAGCGACACTCGAGTGGTAAGGACAGATTTTAATCAGGAGTAACTACTGTAACAGGGGAAAAAAAAAAGAGTTCAGTGTGAACTGAACTCACCTTCAATTTGTCCACAGTAACGAGTGTTTTAATAAGAGAAGGAGGGAGTAGGGCAGGGAGCCAGTGGAGGCTCAGTCGAGTCAGGGAAGTGAAAAATTATACAGGGTTACGCAGTGTAACTGCGATGAGGCCAGCTCTGTATGCCAGCTAGCAGTCACCAAATTCAGATCCTACCCTCCCACAGAGCCTGGGACACAGGGTCCCTATTTACTCGCCCAAACAAAAATTTCTGACAGCATTAAGTTTTCTCAGGCAGGCCCTTTAAGAGGACTGGGGTCATGCTAAGAAGGTTGCCCTGAGCTGTGAGAACCTATGCCAGTGTTTGTTTGTGTCTTTACAGGCCAAGTCCGAGGCCTGGTTGAGAAGGAGGGCTCAGAGGAACCCGGCTAGAGTTTGGTCAAGGACAGACTCTC